GCTTATCCTACTTGGAGTTCATTCTTGTTTTAGTGTATCCAAGTCCTTCCTCAAATTTGGGGAGTTTTCAGATATTCTTCTTCTAAAATTGCAATAATATGTATCTTGATATGCTTGGTGAGTTCCCGTAAGTCCTTTAGATTCCACTCATTTTTCTTCATTTTATCTTTTTTCTCCTCAGACTTATTCAGTTTGATGATTCTTTTTTTTTCGTGTACAAGTTGGCTGCTAAACCACTCTAATAAAATTTTCAGTTATTGTATTTTTTAGTGCCAGAATCTGTTTTTAAAATGATTTCTACCTCTTTGTTGATATTTTCATTTTTATATGTTTTTTATTTTCTTTATTTTTTTGTCCATGTTTCCTCTAGTTTTTTGATCATATATAAGACAGTTGTTTTAAAAACTTTGTCTAGTAAATCCAAAGACTACATTTCTTTAGTATTGTTTCCTGAAGATTTATTTTCTTTGAACAGGGCATGTTTCCCTTTTTTTTTTTTTTTATCATTGTGATCTTTTGTTGAAAATTGGGCATTAGAAAAATAAGCCACCTTCTCAGTTTTTGTAGACTGCATCTATGCAGGGAAACAATGTCACTGCTTAGAACAGAATAAGGCTTAAATTCTTGTCCTAACTTTTCTGGGCATGTGTCTTCCTTGGACCTGATCTGATCCTCTGTCCCCAGTGCACTTCTCGAGAATTTGTGGCTTCTTCTAAATATCTTATTTCTCTGTGAGTCTCATATAGGCTTCTTAGGGCCTTAGATACTACACTTCATTTTGTTGCTCATAATCTCATGCCTCCAGGTGCTCATATGTTTGCAGTCTGCCTTAAGTTTTTCACACACCTCAACACCTGGCATTGCTTTCAGTGACCTGCATGCACCCTTATATCTAAATTATACCCTTATTCCTATTTGGGCTCCAAGCCAAATTCCTTTAGGCATCCCCTGAATGCCTGAATGTTATAAAAATAAGTTCCATTGTTTTCTTTCTTCCTCAATGGAAGAATCAGAAATTAGGCAGCTTCTTGTCAACTACACTTGGGTGAACCAAGAATAGGGGAAAAGCAAGGGTGAGCAAAGCTGCCACAAAATTTTCTATTACCTTGAGTGTGTTTTCAATTTTTTTTCTTGATTGGGTATCCACTCACTTACCTCAGGCCCTTGGCTGGCCTCTAGAGCTCCCATAAAGCCAATCTAGCTAGTCTGTTGTCATTTACTTGACATTCATAAGGGTGAAATGAGGGCCTGGGGTTTCCTAGTCCACCATCTTGCTAGAAGAATCACCTGAACGCTTGTTAATTAAGACAATACCTATGTACTCATAGGATAAAGAGGAAGATTTATTCACTAATTGTGCTATTTAAATTTTTTGTATGAGAAACACGATGCAGTAGAAAAGAAACGATATTGTGAATCAGGGGAACTCATCTGCTTTCTCCTGTTTCCCTCTTCTATTCTAAACAACTATGTTACATCTGATTTATATGCGTTCATCTGGTGCTCCTGTATTGGAGGAAGTAAAGGGAGATACTGAAAACTTTTAGGCCACATAGTCTGTGATGCATATATTGTAGTGGTCTAGATAATTTTCAATATTTTCAAGTACATTTTCACCTTGAAATGTCACAATAGAAGCCCAAACAAGCAAGCAAACAAAAATCCTGCCAAAATGTACAGGTGATGTGATTTTCTAAAGTAACACTGTCCACCAGGCAGTAGCTGAAGGAAATACAAACAAAACACTCGTAAGGAAATTACCAATCTTGAAAGAGGACAGACTTGCTTTTTACAGAGATGATATAACATAGTGATGAGGAGTTAAAATTGCAGACTCCAGCCAAGCAGCCATAAAATCTTGTCCCTTCTCAAATACATATTGGATATAGAATTGGGGAAATTTACTTAATATAACCAAACTTTAACATCATCAACCTTACCAAATACGTTTTTAATACCAGTAAATGATTTATAAAAACTGTTGTCAAAAGCATGTGCTCAGTATGTATAATAAATTGTTATTATTACATGTAAAATAAATAATTTCTGAATAGCCTACCTATAAAACCTTCAAGTCCAGCTTGTCTTAGATGTGGCCAATCAAGGAGACTTGTCAAGGAGACTTGTGGGCAGTCTGCCTGGATGTCTGAAATTCCATGCTAAATTTTACAAAACAAAATATTGGGTACTTTTGACCATTCCCTCAAAGCTGCACAAATCACTGGCAGATGACCCTCATTCAAATTAACTAATAATTAATCCTTGCAGCCAGCATCCCTGAAGGATAAGTATTGCTTCTGATTGGGTTATCTTTCTGAGATTGGTTACTATTAAAAAATACCAAGTTGCTTAATATTCCAGTACAGCTCTTCTTTGAAAGTGATACAAGCAATTCATCTACTGGATTCCTTTTCCTTTTCAAAAACCTTACCTTGTACTTCCTGAAGCTTTTGTTTCTTAGCTTTTAGCATATCCTCAAGGACTTTTAAAAAATCCACAGCAAACGGAGAGTTTCCAGTAATTGAATATGGCACAATGGTTTCACCATATTGTTCCAAATCCATTTTCCGTGCAGGTTCTTCATGTCTCACAATGGTCACACCACTCATCAGAAAATAAAC